TTTGTAGTCACAAGTGAGGGGTTGGCCGCATTTCAAACCATGTCAAGCCTATCTGATGTACTCTTTTCTGGTGGCACTGCCCAGAGATATCAGACGTTGAGTCTGCGTGTCAGAATTGGAACTCGCACGTTTCATCAAGCTATGTAGCAAACATTAGCCGTCCAGCATTTGTCATCCCACGATTACTGAATCATACGCCGTGCGCAGACAGCTTGCATCATGTGAGTGGAAGCCTCTCTGTAGTTTTTGTCCAGTGAAGTAATGTGCGCTGAGCCTGTTCAGAGTTCATTGTTGAGGAGAAGAGGTGTCTGACGAGAAGGTTCCCATAAAGGTGGCTGCATGTAAGTCCTCGTCCTCACTAATGGTACATCCTGCTACTTCTGCCTGCAAATGCTAGATACGGGCGATGCGCGAGGCCTTGCTGGTCTCACACCTCTTGGCCGCGGACCGCATGCGGCGGCACCCAGAGATGTGGGAGGTTCTTCACCAACTGTCACTGCTCGTTACTGCTCGTTTCTTGAGGGAATGCAGGGTTTTCGATGCAGGAAACGACTTACTTCGTGGACAGCCTTTGGGAAGCCATCATGAAGCGAGTCCACCCAACGAAGGCAGTGGCTGCGATTACCTGAGGGGTCAGAAAGGAACAGCAGATCAGGTCTCCCACTTCGCCATGATCTCGAGTTGGGCACTCAGCTAGAGCTAGCGGCTAGCTGCCACTAGCAGCTTTGGAATCGGTTTTTCGGCATAGATTCAATCTCGCGGATGCAGCCGAGATCGTGTTGACATCGCTGATGCGACGGTGGCAGCACAGGCATAACAACTCACAGCCTGATGCGCAATGATAGAACATCTCTAACAGCAAGCCGCAGTGTACAACGAAGACGCTTCAGCATGGACGTGCTCCTGCTGTATGTGCGTGGCTGGCACAGAGACCTCCACGAAGCTGGCAGGTCACCATCGAGCGCTTTCGTCTGCAGGCCAGCAGCTACATGCGGTAGATGTGGGTAGTTGGTTGGCGAGACAAGCGTTGCCAAGAGCAACTTTTCCTGGAGGTTCCTGAGGCCTTGGTTGCCTCAGCGCTGGTAGAGGTACAGCCAGGGGGTGCTCCTTATGCGTCTGGCTTGCACAAAGTTCGGCCCACGACAAAGAGAGAATCACATTGTCAACCACGTCTATGCAGCTATGCAAGCCTAAGGACTCTGAAAGGTCCAAGAAGGAGGGCCATGCTCATGCCTCGGGATGTCTCAGGAAGCTTCTGAGTGGGAGCCAGGCAATCCTACGTCATGCGGTAGCTATCGATCCTCTCCTTGAGTCTTGTCCTTGAGGTCACCAAAGAGGCTGTAGAGGTTATCATGCACCTATGGCAACAATGTGGTGGGGCTCTTGTCGCTGTCGATTTTCTGCGACGTTCGATGTCTATGTCGATGTTCACAGGTGGTTCTGCCAGCGTGTGTTGCAGGGAGAGTCATGTGCGGAGCTTGGTTGAGCATCCTGAGACAGAGTTTGTTGGATTGTTCTTAGAAACATCGTGTGGCTTTTTTCTGTGCGCTGTGAAAAGTTGCTCGCCTAGAGGCGCTTTGGGCAGCTCTTTGGGCTTTGGCGTTGGAGCGTGGATACGAAGTGCAGCTTATGGGCTCGCAGCTTAGATCGCAGCGGCTCAAAGGCAGTCTGCTGTCACATGCTGTCGCATGCTGTCGCATGCTGTCGCATGCTGTCGCATGCTGTCACATGCTGTCACGTCCTGTCACATGCTGGCACATGTTGGCACATGCTGTCACATGCTGTCGCATGCTGTCGCATGCTGTCACATGCTGTCACTTTGTCCCAAGCGCTGCTTTAGTGCTGCTTTTGTAGCGAGGTCAGGTTTAGTGAGGGCGACCCGAGGGAGTTCGAACTCGCCCGTTCAATGTCCGCGAACTGGTGGCATCTGTGACATGTTCCTGAGACAGTTGCATGGGTGGAAAATTATGTTGTGATCATTTCTGGCGTCGTTATGGTTATTGGCAGTTTGGAACTCGGAACCTCATTGGAGCCTCGAATCGGTGTGAGCAAGGCGCTATCATGCGCTGTCTGAGAAAGCGCTAACTGTGGTAACGGGTCGGATGTCTACAAACCGTCAAGTACGTCTGCACATTTCAGGGGCAGTTGGGAAGCGGAGGGCTGCGGGACGTGGGGTTGGGCTCGGGAGTGGGGGCGGAGGTGCGGGGTAAATATCGCCCTCCTAAACCCTGAAGCCTCTCCAAACAGACACTGCCCAAACGTGCCCCCAAACCCAGCTCTCTAGCACTTGCGGCGTTAAGGGTCAAGAGCTTCAGGTTTTCGACTGCAAAGGGCGCAGAAGTTCCCCCTGGCTGGACGCCTCAATTGGTTAAGACGGTGAAGCTCTGAAAGACGACTTTAATTAGAAAGGGTTCTTTGGCCAGAAGGTGCCTCAGATTTAGGGTTTGGCGTCCTTATTGTTCTCGTTGTCCTGCCGCTTCTGAGAGCAGAAGGACCACGGCCCCGAAGAGCCAAAGCCATACAAGGCTGAAGTCACAACAGGCAATTTCAGGACCCACCAAGAAAAAACAAAAAAGCAGAAAGCGAGCATGGTGTTATCACGACACGGCTACTGAAAAGACTTCATTTGGAAAATGCGTACCTTTCATGTCGTTCGATTGCCCTGCAAGACCCTACTTGTTCCATCACAACTGCTTTTTCTCTTTTTTGTGTCGTTTTCTTTGGGGGCTCTTGGAGTCCTAAGCGAAGCGAAATCCCAAACATGTTGGAGTATCCGCGAGTTGACAACTCGCAGTGTTCAGTCATACGCTCTTTGTGTTATTCTAAGGTTTTGTGTTTTTAGTTTTGTTTGTTGTGGCCTCGTATCCTGGGCGCTGCGGTCGCATCCTGTGGAGGCTTAAACGCTTGAAGCCCTCCCAAGTCTTTTCATGCCCTTCCCTTCCGGGGGTCCGGGGGAGGTTGCTGTCGCGTGATGCTGCACTTCATTGCGGTTGCAATGTTCGCATGCTGGTCGTCCTAGTCTGTTGGTCATGCGTGTCCCTCGGGCCGAACGGTTAAAGAGCTGTTGGTGGGTCTCTCTCTCTCTCTCTCTCTCTCTCTCTCTCTCTCTCTCTCTCTCTCTCTCTCAGAACACCTGCATAAAACACGCACGCGGGAACTTCAACTCGTTGAAGTTGGACTTCAGACCGTGTATGTCGTTGATTTGGGGTTGGAAACATTGGGGTGTGAACAATATCCTTGCCAGTATAGTGCAGCTGCCGCTGCGCCAACAGCAGCAGCGAGGTCCAAGCTCCGTCGGGACTTGCTCCAGGTCGAGAAAACCGACTCCACGTTAGTGCAACGAACTCCTGTTCGAACTTTCTCTACGGTACGAACTTGTCGATGAAAGCAGCCGCGGGACGTGTAGGCTTGCTTGGCGTCCCTGAAGCTTCGCTTGCCCTCGTTCGCAGGCTTGTAGTGACAGCAGGCGGTGGTTGTCCGTGCCCGTGGGCTTCTTGCAAAGTGAAGCTTGGGTAGGGTGCTCGCAAGCTCGGGCTCTGCGGTACGGGACTGATGTTCCTCAAAGCAAAACTGGCAGTTTGCACAAGGGAGGGGGGGGTCGGGAGGATGCTGGCTCCAGACACCTGTCTGTCGGAGGCCGACGCGGATTAGTACAAGCTTCGTAGATGAGCGGCTGTCGCCGCCGTGAGTTGAAACGCATGGTCTTGAGATTTTTTGAGAGCGTTTCTGCTGCGCAAGCTCTGGACTTGAGGATCAACTTGTGATACTATGCGCGATGCTTTGTGTGAGCCATGATTTTCTCACGTCGGCGGCGAGCAGTGAACTCACAAAGGCAAATTCTTCGATATATTTGATGAATCCGGAGATGGCTCGCTCCAGCTTGCCTCTCAGTTTGTCCGGCCAGGCGACTACAGCTTGGGAACATCAAGTCTGATGAAAATTTTCCCTAGCACAGGTACGATGAGTTCGTCAACTTTATGGCGCACATCGCACCCGCAGTTCCCGAGGCGCGATTTCGACGTTCCTGCTGACATATTTTTGTTTAGTTTCCAGAAGTGGATGTGTTATCGCTGTTCATCTTCGTTTGCAGGCAGACTGTGCTTCTTTCTTCATGGCCGTGGCAGAAGACACTTCAGCGGACATGACGCAGGAGGTGTGACCGTGTGAAGTCGTGTGAATCCTGTGACCAGTTTCGAAGGCTCCGCTTCCTTGGGCGCTGCCATGCCATGAGCCCACTTGAGGTGTTCATCAATTTGGTTCAGCGTGTCGGCGTCTCCTCTGACCTGGTGCTCTGCTCATTCCGCCAAGCATGCCACGACATCTCGCATTCACTTCCGAAGTCTGTTCCGCTCCATCTGAAGGATGGGCTGAAGAGCTTGGTGGAGGCTCGGGAGAAGGTGGGCTGCGGAGTGAAGTCCAATGTGTACTTGCAGAGTCACAGCGCATGGCTAGCTAGATGCCGGTCTGACGCAAGCACAAGCGGTGCACAAGCATCTGACCTCTGCCCGCGTACTTTGCCAGCCGTTCCATGGCGGAGGCTTGACGATAAAGCACAATTGAGGGGCAGGTGAGCCACGGTGAGCCGACCAAAGTAAAGCGGCCAAGGATACCCCGAAACCACAACTGGAGTGCTTTCTGAGAATAACTCAGAGGCAGACCAAGGCCAGACTACACGCCTAAGGCGTCTCGATGTACATAAGCTTGGTTCAGGCCAAAACGGTCAATTGCCAGGTTGCACGACGCCTGAAGTTGCAACCTTCGTTGCAGCAGGATAGGCCAACGTGATCTCACCGTGATTTTCTCAAGGCTGCCTGCCCAGACGTGCTCTAAGTTCGAAGAATTGGCACTGGCTTTGCATGGCATCAGTCGTCAGTGCATCAGCAGTGCTTCAGTAGTCGGTGTTTAATTCATAGCGGTTTGCGCTTCAACAAGCTGCAACCCTTCCATATTCTTAGATGTTGAAGGTGCTAGACAAAATCACTTCGCTCAGAATATGGGAGGTGCTGACGAGCGGTCTTCTAAGTGGATGTGCCTATCCCGTGGTTGCGCTTGAAGTGGTCAACGGTCTGAAACCTAGGGGGCGAGGGGGAGGTGTGGACAATGGCCGAATGGACAAGCGAAGCACATGCCAATGCAAAAGCGCACCTCAGCGATGCAATCCTTGTAGTTCTGCGACGTGTCTTTCGCCAAGGACACGCACTGGTTGCTTTGGAGAATCCCTGGTTCCAGGCCCAGAGCCTGAGAGTAGGTTCAGGACTCAGGTGGAGTTGACAATTTCCAAACACTGTTCGCAAGGGGCGCTGGAATGGACGCTGGGGTCCTGACTGTCCCGAGCGGGGGTCTTACAGCGGCGCATGAGCCTTTTGCTGGCTCGATTGTGACTACTGTAGAGAAGAAGCTGTCGGGAGGCACCAGGCACGATTCAGCACAATCCATACTGTTCACCCATGTTCATGCATGTCCATGCATTTTCATCCCCATTTTCATCCATGTTCATACATGTTCATCTATACCTCTATCAGGGATCAGCATGAGGCTTGTTTCGGGAAGTCCAAACAGGGCCACGTTGTAATGTTGACGCTAACGTGCCCCGCCTCGGCGCGGCCGAGTCGTGCTTGGACCCGTAATCCTAAACCGTCACGCTGATGTGGGCTAAGCACTTCGCCACTCCGCGGAGCTTTTTATGTCATGATGCCGAACGCTACAGCCCGGAAGCCTCCATCCGAGCGTGCACGGCCAGGCCGAGTCCCGTACACCTCAGAATCCACATGTCACCAGGAGGTTCCGAGCACAGGACCACCTAGGCATCCAAAGCAGACCTCTCAGGGGGTGGGAACTTTGGCTTCCGGTGCCCGAACTGCCCGGGGCGGGGGATCAAGGAGGTGGGAGGCCTGGAGCCTGGACCTCGACAAATCTCAAACTTCTGTGATTTCTGTTACATGCCTGAGGCGCGGACAGCTTCAACTCCCAGGCTGCCAGCCGTTCTGGATGAGCATACAGGAGTGCCTGCCGTGCCATCCGTGCCATCCGTGCCCACGCTTGTTCCATGTCGTGACCTCGCTGTCGTACCTCTACATATCCCGTTTTGAAGGATTTCTGCCAGCACTTCACTGACATCGTCCAGGTGACTCTTAGGTGTCATGATAGTGCAAATGCCACAGGAAGGGGACACGTGGGTACATGTATGGGTACATGTATGGGTACATGCGGGACGAGCTCTCCAGGCCCGGTTGGTGCCGGCCTCTTGGCAGTCGGCCATGGCGCGCAGCTGAGTGTAGGGAAGGGTTGTCTGCTCATTGCTTTGAATAAAACCATTTCTAGCGAAAGCGATCCGACGATGGGTCTGACATGCGAGGTTGCGATGTCTGAGGAGAGGCCAAGCTACCCTCTGGTTTCGGTGTCGTCACCAACCCAGGCCGCTCCTGCGTGGCTTTTAGCGCCATCTGCTGTGCGAAGCCACGCGCGTGCAGCGCTCACGATTGCGCAAGAAGGCAGTCTTCATTCTTTCGCAAATAGATCATCTTCGATCGAAGAGGCAGGCTCACTTGAGTGTATCGGAGGCTCGTGCAGACTTGCAGATTCTTGGAGGCTGTGCAATTTTGTCGCGCAGGAGGGCAGTTCCACTTGGGCTTCGGGTGTACCGATGTCGCATAGTGGCCCCGCCGCAGCATGCCACAGGCACCAAGAACAGGTTCTTTTGAACTTTCTGAAGAGCCGCGGCTTTCCATTAAGTCAAAGAATGCCAGGAGTAAAGCAAAATGTGTCCAACCCCTTCAAGCCCCTGGAGCTGGTGGCTGAGCGGCCAATTTCTCAGGCTGTGCGGGAGCATGGCTTTTTGTCATGGGCTTGGAGAACTTGGCGTCCTCAGAATTTCAAGGTGCTTCAGACGGTCAAATTTTGAACCTTCAACACCACAGAGAGGGATGTGTGCAGCACGCAATCATCCAGCATCATCTCGCTGCGTGCACGCTCTCCGCACCGTCCGAAACCTGGAACGAAGTCAGGCCCAATCTGTCCCACTTTTCCAAAGTTCTATCAGGGTTTACTGAGGTTTACTGTACTACGAAGACCAGCTGAGACAAAGCAGAGATTCATGGTGAATAAAAAGCCCTCGATTTCGATGTCAGAACATCTAGCCCTGTTTGCACAGCGCGGTGAATGGGATGAACTCCTTGCGGCCCAAACTCTCCGAACTCTCATATGTCAGAGAAATTGTCCCACAAATCTTGGTGCTGGCCTCTTAGCCTTTCCTTGCCATCATTTTCTGTCGTTGCATTCAGTCCTGGTGTTGGGGTCTGGTGTCTCAAAGTTTCAGAAATAGCCATGTCCTTGCTTTCCTCCCGTTCCAAATTCAACGACTTTGCGTATCTTCGTGCAAGTCAACTCTGCGTGGAAAAAAGACAGGAACAAGGACAATCTTCCATGGGTAACATCCAAAAACATTGTGTTAGACACTGAAATCGGACACATGTCGTCACGACCTTCTTGTGTCGGCAGTACAAGTTTCGCTCTTGTAGAGCTTTCTGTTTTTCCTGTGCTTTGTCCACTCACAGCTTCACGTATCAATGCTCAGCAACTGCTGCACATGACACAGCTTTGAAAGGAGGGATACCCTAGCAGCCCTAGCACAAGCGTTACCACTCATTTAGCGTGACAGACAAACAGAACAGCACCCGAGAAGAAGGACTTGGGAGATGTCGAAACGTGAAAGGAGGATGAATGCCGCACTATGAGAATTTCCGCCCGGTTGGCGTTGCTCCAGTTGCTCCTAACTTGCGCACTGGTCACGAAGCAGAGTTTCTGGCGCAAACTTGCTTCAGCCGCGGCCGCTGCTAAAGCACAACTGGGCTCCAGCAGGAGAAGGTGTTGCTTCCGCAGCGGCCATGCAGGGGACGTTGGGCTGCTTTGTTCTGCCGATATTTGCGTTCCCAGCCTGTCGGGCTTCTTGGCACTCGACCATGCTCGTGAGGGCGTGCATGCCGTGCCTTCCACCCGCGACTTCCATGAAACACGGAGGAGCCAAGAGAGCCTGAGCTGTGTTGGGAGGACCATGGAGGACCCAGCGTAGTGCGGCGACTACCCTACAGGAAGTTCAGTACCTGTCAAGACCGATCTGTTGAGCTCAAGTAAGACATAACGCGAGTTTGAAGTTGGGGAGAACTTCCAACAAATCGCAGAGACATGTGAGAAACAACCATTTTGCGAGGTTGCCGTTCTGTAAATCAAAAAGGCGTTTCCAGTTTCGGTTTGCTGAGCAATATCACTGCATTTCTTTGTGCACATCGCTGTGCTGCAGTGATGGAGGCTCGGTCAGTGATGGTGGAGGTGCCAAAACTTGAGCCGCCAGCCTGGCTCAGTTTGACGCTCACGTAGCAGTTGGATTCGTTTCCGGCTTTGTCTTTTTCCAGCGCAAAAGTAGCGCAGGAATTGCCTTTACGTGGCATCCATCTTGTTCCCGTCAGCGCCCTTGAAACATCTTGGAACCATGTGTTCAGTTTGAAGAGTGCTCCTCTGCCATGCGTATACCAGCTTGGCCGGGTTGCAGGATTCCATGTGGTTTCGACGTGCCAAGGCCGAATGCATCTCCTACATCTCCTGACCTGGCGGTCTTACGGGTCCTGACAGCTTCATCTATGCGGTTTCGAGAGCTCTCCCTGCCAGAGTCGGCGTGCGCCAATGTGAGAATTGCGGAGAGTGGCTTACAAATGGCTTACAAGGGCTTACAAGGGCTTACAAGCACAAGCTCAAGACGAGAAGGTACTTCCTCCAAGCTGAAGAAGCCGCAGCTTCTCGGCCCCTGCTGTCACCCCAGAAGCTGTGTGGATGCGTGTGGATGCGTGTGGATGCGTGTGGATGTGGTCATTGCAAAGCAAGCCATAGCAAGTAGTGAAAGCTTTGCAACACCTTGCCATCCCATAATGCCGCTGCATCTGCATGTCTCAGGTTCGCCGTTGACACCGACAGCTTCTCGTCTCAGGCACAGCAGTTTCAGTGGCGCTAGACTGTTGGATGTCGACAAGTACAGGCACATACCGTAAAAACACACATCCAGAAATATCCAGAATCATCAAGACATGTAGCGTCTCATTGGCATCAGCTGGGCAGTGATGGGTTGGGCGGGTGGACAACAATCGTCTCTTCACCAAATTCCACGAATCGCAGAGTGGAGCCCCGGAGCCCCCGCCAAGGCGGAGGTCAGGGGAGAAGGGGAACAGGGACATGGAGGGACCCGCTTGGGCGTTGGAGCCAATAGCTGTTCCGTCAATGAGGAGTGAGGCGAGAAGATTGCTTCAGGGATTTCATGCGCAGTCACAGCGCAACTTTTTTAGTGCATTACACTTTCTCTCTTCGAATTGCACAAGGCAGATGGTGAATCACATGATTTGATGTGATTGCCAGGGATCGCTTGAAGCCCTGCCAATTCCGACTCCCGCCTGGATCTTTCAGTGTTGTGTGCCTTCAATGAGAGTTTCTGGATGTTCAACTGGTAAGGCTCATCATGTTGTCAGATATGTCAGATGCAGGCCAGGAGTGATCCGATGAATGCGATGCGAGCCTCGGCTTCTCGTGGAGACGGCCGTGGCCTGAGATGTGGGGAGGTCCAGTTCGGCACTGGTCGCAATCTCAAAAATGTCTAAATGCTCCAATGATGAGGATCAGCAGCATCAGATTGGCATGGCTCAGCCGGTTCAGCCGGTTCAGCCGCGTCGGAGACATGGCCAGGCCAGGCCACGGTTACGGTAGTTTACCCAGCTCTGCGAGCAGTGATTTTGTCAATTCGGCCTGGCCCCCAATAAGCTATACAACCGCTCGAAGAAGGCTTGCCTGCAGGCAGCTCGGGCTGAGAGTCGAAAGTTT